CCTCCTCCAAATATTTTCCCCAACTAATATCGCCTTGGATATCTCACTGGGCATCGCCAAAATAGACTCATCCACCCTCACCACCTCTAAATCCCTTCCCGAACCCCCACTACCATCCGAAGCCATTGCAGAATACAAAAATGTAAAAAAAACTTGGAAAATACTTATTAAAACTCAAGAAACTGGGAGACCTACGATCGGAAAAGATCAATGCACAATGTGATATCGCCGAAAACTGGAAATGTCACCTGAAAATGCTTGCACAATGTCGAAAAATGCAAGAATCGCGAGAGGAAATGGATTTTCTGATTTCGCAAAAGTGAAAAACTCCCAAAATGCTCAAGTCCGCCTTTTATAAAGCACCCCAGCTAATCTCTATCGTTGAATTCAAATGTGATCAATCTAGGCCGTCTATCGCATCTTAAATTTGAGCCGTTGAAATGAAACGTCAGATTTGATCTACGCCCAAGATCTAGCTGTGACCCTCACGCTCGCATAAAACACGTCGCCTCGATCACCGTCAGCCGTCTACAATAAGTAGTCGCAGCAGTCTTTTCTGGAAATGGGCATCTTACCCAATTGTCGCCTTGGAAATACGCGATAGCTGTCAAATCATTTGACGTCAGAAATGTTCACCTTAGTTCGAAATCCTCAGCTCTACAAAGCTTAGACGCACATAACGTGACGTTCCCTATGGGTCATCGCCTTGGTGGATGCGTTCCCTCCTAAACTTTACAAAGCTTTAGCCATCTCCCAACGTGTCGTCCCCTGTGGGTCAGCGCACCAAACACAGATGAGTTCCCCACTCAGCTTTGCAAAGCTTAGACGCACTTGACACGACGTCCCCTGTGGGTCATCGTCTCAGTGGATGCATTCCCTCCTAAGCTTTACAAAGCTTTAGCCATCCCCCAATGCATCGTCCCTAAACTTCGCGAGGCTTTGACCTTTTCCCAATGCGCCGTCCCTTAAGGCCTGGGCCTCGGGAGAAGCTGATCACCTACCCACATCTCTTCAGCGAACACAAAAAATCGATCCACAAGCTTTCGGGCCATCTACACACTTCGTCCTTCCATGCCAGTTCTCTATCACAAATCAAGGCAGGCATACTCGATCGGGAAAATAAGTCCACTCATGATATAAATATTCATGCCTAAATTTGGGGGGACCATTGTTACGCCCCTACTGAACCACTTTGGAAAGTGGTAGCACGAAGTTACGCCCCCATCTGAACCATTTCGAAAAGTGGTAGCACAAAGTATCCACCACCAATCCGAAGTACTTCAGAAGTCCACCACTGCATCGAATATCTGAACCACTTCGAAAGTGGTAGCACGAGGTATCCACCACCAATCCAAAGTGCTTCGGAAGTCCACCACTGCATCGTACAAGACATCCACCGCCAACCTGAAGTGTTTCAGAAGTGACTCCACCATCAATGTCCGCGCGCTGTTAATGCGTTGCGAGACACAAAACAATTTTACCAAACCGATCGAAGTGTCCTTGACGCCAAAGCTCAATGCACTCTGAGGTTCTCCTTCAGCGCCGCCACTTTCAGAAAGAGAATCTATGTCAAGATCCTCTCTTCCCCCAAGGCCCAATTGATTTGACGTCTCCATGGATCTAGTTGATATGACGTATTAACTTTATGTCAACTCAACTCAGTAGAAGTTATTACCCGTTCACTCTATATATGCGGCTGATTGACGCCTATGAGCAGACGCCTCACACCGTCAGATGCATACACGTGTCCCACATCCAACGATTCTCCTCACCTATAAATACCCAAGGTTTGACCGGAGGCAAAGGTAATGAAACTCTTGTAACTTAGCTCTCCATAACAAGAAAATATATATAATCTCCTCCCCACTCACTTGCACAAACCCGGCACTTTCCGATCAGCGGATACTAATTTGACCGTCAGAGTGTATGCGGCCGCCACCACCCCATCTGGTTCCAGCCGCGTGCATCTAATCGTGTGTTGATTGTGCATAGGGAGGATCACGTGGAGTAGTTATCGGTTGGCTATGTAGGAGGTACAATTCGCGAGGTCAACACTAATGGTGGAAAAAATGGACCAAATTTGGACAATGGACCGATGGTGGCCGGAGAATGAAGCAAAATATGATTGAGCCATTTTTTTGAGCATATTGCATCCCTCAACGGTGGCTTTAAGCTGCCATGGTGCTGCCTATATTTGCTTGTACAAGAGCACCATCGAATAACCGGGCATTACGTTGTGGGTCTCCATTCTATTTGAGATTTGGAGTTTTGTTTTCCCCATTGACATTACCTTCTAAAAATTGATTTTTGGCGGCTGGTTTCTTGGATATTTCCTTTTATTTGTGGGATAGATATGGCAGGCAATAATAGGGGCAAATGAAGAATAAGTTAAGCCTACCCACTGGTAAATGGTTGTTGATATAATGGCAATTTTTTGTTGTTGTAATTTTGTTGTCTGCCACTTTGATTACTTGCCGGGAAATTCTGTTCTCCTTTTTTTTTGTTGCCACCGTATTTGTGGTGGGTTTGTTCAACTCGAATTTTTTCAATCCTTTTGCCAGAGAGAGCCATTTTTCATTGCGAAAAATTCCCTTTTTTAGGGAAAATTTTCAAGGGCTTCAACAGCCAGTTTTCTTCTCTCTAGTTGTTGCTGTCTTTGCTATTTTTGGTAGAAAAAATGTCGAAAAAATTTTCAATTCTCCGGTGATCTTTTTGTACGCGATGTAACATGGTTAGTACCATTTCAAACAGACAGTGCCAATCTGTTGACCCCAAAAAATGTTGCCAACAGAATCTCGAATTTGTCTTCTTCATATCTACACAGGTGGCACCCCGTTAGGAGGCAAAGACCATTGGTCGAGAAAAGGGTCCAACGACCGTTTGCACGTCGACGGTCAAGTTAGCAGCCAGACGGAGATATAAGTATGGAGTGCAATATTCGGGAAAGGGAAAATGTTGTTAAAGTGTTTTAACATGTTTAGGTATACCTAAAAATGAGAAGGAATTCTCATATTTATAGAGGTGGAGATGGGTCAAGTGCTTTAATGGGCCTAAGTCCAAGCCCGGTATGAGGTGGTTGTATTAGCATAGCAATGGGTACCTCAGCAAGTGCTTCAATTGGGCTCCTTGGGACCTTGGCAACACCTTTGAAAGCACCTCAATTAGACCTCTTCTTGTGACTTGGTTAGACCACTTCGAATGATCTTTAGACAGCTTCGGGTTAGGTTTAGGATGCACTTCGGCTGAGCCTTGGGGGACCTTGGTGGACTACCTCGTCAGGCACTTCTGCCTTTTTAGAAGGCACCTCGGCTAGCTCCTTGGAGGTACCTCGGCTAGCCCTTTAAGGCACCTCGGATGACTCCTTTGAGAGCCTCAGCTTGGGCTTTTACTTGCCTGCCTCTTAGGCCTATGTTGTCCAACTCTAATGGGCCTCGTCCAGGTTCAATAATAAGGCCCAATGTGAAGTGATGTATTAGTATAACAGCTACAAACTACAAGATGCATCAGCATGTATATTTCCCACCTATAAGGTCATTACATAAATTATTGAATTTGAAACCTTGGGTGGTGGGTGAATGATGGAATTTTGGGTTGCCTTTCACTCCCCAAAGATTAACTAGTACATCTGTATTGACATGAACGATGTGACGTAAAGAGGTAAATTGCATCGAAGAGGAGAGGCTAAGCCAACATAAATGAATTAACCTATTTGTAGAATTGTGATTGACAATGATGGATGACAACATTGATGTTGTCAAAATCTGGACCATTACGTTTAAAATCAATTTTTGAAATGGACGAATGTGATATTGTCAAGTATGAATTGTCAAGTAAAATTAAAAAAAAAATGGAAAAAGAAAAGAGAGATTATGCAAGTAGTATGATTGGACGTGAATAGAGGAAGATGGGACGTTGGTGGGGCGAGGGGTGGCAGCATGTTAGGGATGGGTGAAAGGTTTGGGATTTTTGAGAAATGTCATATGTAAACCTTTATTTACATTCTATTTATCAACAAAAGAGAAATTGTCAACTCAGCATTATGTAAACAAGGTTGTAAACAAAGGTGTACAAATAGCTTTACATGTGATTTTTTGTTTGTTTGTTTTGTTTTCTAATACGCACCTGTTTGTCATCCATTAAAATTAAATTCATTTTTTCTTAAATTCATTTTCAATCACATTCATACAATAAAATATTTTACACGTAAATTGAATTTTTATTTTTTAGTTTTTAACCACACATTCTTCTCAAAATCACAATTACAAAATTCATTATATGTATTTTAATGGTTACCAAATATAGGTTAATAATTGTTAATTTTAGGTTTAAGTTCAATAATAACAGCATAAAGAAAAGATAAATAGGCAGAATCAGCATATTTTGATTATTCTGCAAGTAAATGATAAGAATTCAGTAAAGTGGAGTGGCAAATTTAACGAATTAATGATAACGGCGATGGAATTCTCTCCCATCATAAGACTTCTGTTAGGGCTTGAGTATGTCTGACCCATGCCATGCACGGCACATTATCTACTCCTTTTCCAACGATAATTTTGTGGGCCCACCACTACTGTGGTATATTATCATTTTAGACCCTCAAAATAATATATCGACTTGAACTTGGAATACAGTATTGAACATTATTGAATGATGTTTAAAAGATTAGTCTATTGATTTGAGAAAGTAAGATTGTTAAAGTTACGGTAGTTGGTTGGATTGAAATCGAACTGATAGGGAAAAAACTAAATAAGTAAATAAAAATTTAGGCAATTGAATAGACGAATTTTGGAAATAAACATGATGAAGTGCGTGATATATTTAGTTGAAAGGAAAATGTCATGCTTGGGCCGTGATAACGTGATAGTGTTTGATGGAAAATTGTTTAATATGTTGGAGCAAAACATTTTATATCGACTAAAATCAAGTAAAGAAAATTTGAAAAATAACATGAAATTAATTAATAATTCATGACATTTACACGCCCATGAAAAATAAAAAGGAAAGGAAAAGCAAAGATTGTTTCCTTATTTGTTCTTCGAATTGAAACTCTCTATTTTTCCGCGCCACCCTCAATTTATTTATTTTCAAAATAATAAATAAATTACAAAAATACGCTTAACCTCTATATCCTTACACTCTCCACGCCCAACTACCCCACCCATGTGTTTCTGTTTTAACTTTGCCTTTTCAAAATTTTCACCGCTATCCTCACCGGTTTTCTGTCCCACTTATTTCCTCCGCCCCTCTGACACCTCCTGCAATTCTGTCCCATCACCAAAAGCTCCGCCCACTTGCCTCATTTTAACAACTCAGCCACCTGTCTCTTTCACTCACTAACTCTCTCTTTGTCACTAGGCTCACTCAATGGTGTTTGTGTTTGTGTTTGTGTTTGGTGTTGAAGATTGCTGCTTGTTTGTGACAATCTCGTAATTTGCACCTTCATCTTCATCCTCGTCATCATCCTCATCCTCGTGATCATCGTTTTCATCAACATTCTCGCTCCCGCGATCGTCCAGTGCAGAATCTTGGTGCTGGCCCTGGGGAAGAGGCCATTGCTGTTCAGGCCGAGCCATAATCGGCATTATTGGATTTTGATCAGGCTTCATTAAGAATCCAGGATTGGATGAAGAATCAGTCTTGGCTCTTTCTCTGTATAAAGCATTGAGTTGGTGAAAATATGGGCATGTCTTTGAATCCTCAGGTCTGTTCTTGTTACTTTCTTTAACTTTCTTGAAGTACTTGTTGATGTTCTCCCATTTTTCTTTGCATCTTTTTGCATTTCGATTGTATCCAAGCCTCCCCATGGCAGCTGAAATCTCCTCCCACAGAGGTCCTTTTGGTCCATTTTCTTGGTACTTTAGATCAAGACTTGTTCGGAGATCAATCAAAGCTTGAACTTCAGCTTTAGGCCACCGAGAAGAACTCGCCGGCATAAAATTTTCACCACCGTTGTTATCAGTTCTTGGAGTATCCAAAACTTTTGTTTGAGTCACTACCACCTGTGCAACTGTTGGAGCCGGTGCTGGTATCTGTTGTGGAGGAGCTGCTGGTTGCGGAGGCGGAACTGGTGGCGGGGTATTTTCGGGTGGTTGTACCTGCATTGGCATCGGCATTGACATCGGCATTTGAGGTGGATTAGCATTACTGATTGGAATTTGCAAGTTTTGTTGCTCAGTTATTTTCTGCAAGAATTGAATTACTGCTGCATCTTTAGCTGCTGCAATTGATCTTTCTTGGACTAAAAGATCATGCTCCCGATTCAATCGTGCCATTTCTTGCACCCTCCAAGCCTCTTCCCTCGCCATTCGATCGCGCTCCCGTTTCTCCAAAGTTTCCAAGAATTTCTTCTGAAGTTCCACTTGCTTGTCGATTGCATTCTTCATCAGCCTTTCGAAGAAATCCTTCCATTTTCTCTTCCTCCCGCTTCGCCTTTGTATATCCTCATCCGATGAAGTCGAAGAAGAAGAATTTGAGAATGCCATATTAGAGGGATGAAAATTATGGCTTTGAGGAGGATATGTAGTAGTAGTAGTAGAAGTGGTGTTCATTGTTGGTGGTGGCAGTGCCGGCTGCAATGGTGGTGGTTGCAATTGCTGAAATAAAGAAGAAGTTGAATTATTTGCACCTTGCACGGCGGCAGCAGCAGCATTTTGTGCCACGTTTACGGGTTTTGGAATTGGTGGGGGCGCCACCATACTCAGAGGCTGAGGCTCCTCCAATACAGGCTGTGGAGTATTGCTTTCCAAAGCCTCTAATTGATCAAAAAACCGATAAGTCTTGCCGTCTTGCTTTGCAGCGCGGCCTTCTTTTGTTCTCTTATGATACTTGTACAAGTTCTCGAATTTTTCTTTGCATTTCTTGGCGGTTCGTTCAAATCCAAGCTCCGCCATTTTTCTGATAAAACGTGATTTGTTCATATCTCGATTTCTCCAATAAAACAAAGTCTAATACTAATAATTAAACACATAAAATAAACAATGAGAATTAACTTCACTAATTCAAATAACAATAACAAGGAGATAAAACAAGAAAAGAATTTAAATCGGCTGAAAAATCCAAATCTAGATTCAGATGAATTGCTGTAAAAACAGCTCAAATTATTCTATTTTTGGAAAAAAGTTAAAGAAGCAAAAACCCGGAATTAAATTCAACAGAAGCTGCTGAATTGTTCTAAAACGAACTGATAGATAATGACCCTTCAATCAAAAAGTAATAATTCAATGGAATTATGATAAATAAGTACTTTTTTTTACAGCGAATTCAAGAAGTATAAGAAATCTATGGCAGCTGTGTGTGAGTGCGTGCTTTGTGCTGAAAACAATGAAAATTCAATTCAAATCATAAATATATTTATTTACCTAGAAACTTCTTCCCATAATGGACTTTTGAGACTTGAATCTCGAAAAGCAACCGCCATATCTGACCTAATTTTAATCAGAGCCATTGTTTCTTGCCTTGGCCACCGGTTGCCACCGACACTCCTCTCACTCTCCTCCATTCTTGCACCACCCGCGGCCTTGTCTTCTTCACTGAACCTAACAGGAATCGAGGTGGCACCGCCGCCAACTTCACTACTTCCACCACTTGCTCCGCCACTCTCGTGACCTTCTGGTGCTGCGCCACCTCCTTCGCTCATGATCCCTGAAACACCCAACATCATCTCTAGTACAGAGGTGTCCCTTTCCACCCCCTCCTCCAAGATGAAAAATAAAAATTATATCTTAAAGATGGTGAATTCTTTGGGTTTTATGAAGATGGGATGTGTTGAATTAATAATTTATTTCGGTGGGATCTGCCTGTCAATCTCACACCTCTTAAATATTTAAAAAGAAGACATTTTTATCTGACGAATCTTCAGCAATTTTTTTTTTCTTAATCAAGAAAAAATTCAAAAGAACATTTTTAACAATAAAAATTATATATAAACCATCTTTACACACATATATAAATGAAAATTAAAAGTGTATAAATCTTTGTATGTATAGGTGTATGTATAGAGAGATGAAAAAATAAAAATTGATAAGCAACAGCTGCATATGGCGACGCTCTTGTCTAAATGCAGTTAAAAGCCGGCCCACGTAGGTCAGCTTTGCTTATCTTGGCTTTCAATGGCGTGTGGGCTGTCTAGGAAATGACTATATTGCCCTCACATGTTTCTTATTGCTTTGACCCTTTAATCATGGATACCAATCAAGCTTAATTTTTTTTTTAATTAATCACATGGATTGCATTATCTTTTTGTCCGAAATTCCCTTGGTTTAATAAAAAATCGGCTCGAACATTGACCTGAGATATACGAAAGGTCAAATCAAATGAATGAGTCTCTATCTTTTACGGTTAAATTGGCTGCTATAATTTTATTTCATTATTTTGGAGGATTATGAGAGAATATGGTGATTATATCACCACGTCGGGTGGAGCGTGACGGGACCATTGCGATTTGACATACTTGAGTCGATGAAAAAAGTTTGGAGCATAATTTTTTTTAGAGTGGGATCCATATTTGAATTAACACCAAGTCATTTATGAATAGGAGTAAATATTGGGCAATTTCAGTTGGGTTTCAACTTGCAAACCTACCCTAATAAATGGAATGAGTTTCAACGGCCAGGATCTATTTTATGCATCATTCACCGTTAAAAAAAAAATGTTAAGCATTTATACAATTCAAGCTATTGCCACTGATTTTTTTTCGGATTTATTGTATAAATATATTGCTACGAGTAGATGCGTGTGTGAGAACATGTACATATTTGGCATTGACTCGACCAAGACTCGAGTAGTCAACTCAATTTAAAGGTTTAGCATTATACTTGTTTGATAGGAATTAAAATTCAGATTTTAATTGAAGTCAAAATCAACAACTAATCATAATTGCATATTTCATGAGATCTATGACTTTAAAACCACACATTTAATCAAGTTTTACCAAAATTTACTAAAAATCGGATTTTAATCTCCACCAAATAGGATTATAGTCTAATTTTATTTGGTTATGTTTGTTTTTGGCCATCAATTTATTCCCCACATATTTACAATATTCTATGTTTTGTTGTTAGAACTAAGCCAAGTTTTAACCAAATTTGTTACTTATTAATAAATTTAGTTCAAATAAGAAGGGGCATGTGACTAATTAAATGCCACTACTAGATTACTATCGTAATTTGTATAAATTATTTTACCCATTCTTACGCGGATCATGATTTTCTTAGATATTTTATTAGTTGTCAAGATAATGTACTAAATTCGTATTTGTCATCACGTCAAAAGGCACCTTTCATCTTAATTATAGAAATTAAATGAGATTAAAAGTCAAATTGTCGATACTCTTCGAACATTAGCATCAAATTGTGTGGTCATAAAAGATATTCAGGTTGTTTATTGATATTAACTTGTCTCAAATTACGATTTCTAATAAATTTTCGTAGTATCTCTAATTTGTCATTGTGTTAAAAGAGCCTCTAATCTTAATTACTAAAGTAAATGAGATTAAAAGCCATAACGTCAAGACTCCTCGAACATTATCATCAAATCATGTAATGATAATTGATATATTTATATCGTTATTAGCATCAACTGTGTGAATTGGTCTCAAATCATAATTATTCATACACTTTCATAGTTGTCAAGATAAGATACTAATCTCGAACTTGTCGTGAAGTCAAAACACCTCTCATCTTAATTCTGAAAATTAAATGAGGTAAAGGCCATACCGTCGAGACTCCTCCGGCATTATCATCAAATTATGTGGTGATAAGAGACTAATTCACATTGTTATTGGCATTAACAGTGTGAATTTGTCTTAAATTACAAATTTTCATATATTTTCATATTTGTCGAGATAAGATATTAATCTTGAATTTGTCGTGGCATTGACACACACTTCTCATCTTAATAACGGAGATTAAATGAGGTTAAAAATATCCCTTCGGTTCGAGCATTAACATCGAATAATTTGGTGATAAGAGACAAATTTACGTCATTATTAGCATTAACAGTGTGAATTTGCCCTCAAATTACAATTTCTCATAAATTTTGGTGGCGGTCAAGATAAGGTATTAATCTTGAATTTATTTTGACGTTAAAATCACCTCTCATCTTAATTATTATGAAAATCAAATGAGGTTAAAAGTCATCATCGAGACTACTCGAAAATTAACTTCAAATTGTACGGTGATAAGAGACATATTCACATTGATATTGACATTAAGTTCTTGGATTTGTCTCAAGTTGTAATTTCTCATACAGTTTCATAATTGATAAGATAAGATACTAATCGAGAACTTTTCATGGTATTAAAAAAACCCATGATCTTAATCATGGATGAATGAGATTAAAAGTCATACGTCGAAATTCCTCAAAACTCAATGTCATAAGAGACAAATCCATATCAAATAAATTCATAAAAATAATCTTAATTATGAAAATAATTCACCATGAAGCTCATTCTTGTGGTGTCAATTTCACCCTTCAATATTTGGTTTTTTAACTTATTACCTTGGGAGTATGGAGTTTGAAAATAAATATAACAAAAATAAAAGATGCTTAGAGTTCAATTTTTTCTATTTTAACTCTTAATTTGTTCGATTAGGTAAATTATACATCCCTTCTAAAGTTGTAATTTTTTGAATTTTCAAGTTATAGTTAATATTTTAAAAGTAATTTTTGAAATTTCAAGTTATAGTTAACAAACTACTTGACCTCGTTTACGTATGATCGAAATTTCAAAAAACCTAATTACTCTACTAGTCTACGGTGACAAAATTAAAATAATAAAGCAGAAACTACCCAAATAATGGACCGTCCCACAAATAATGCAGAGCAGTGGACCCGACCAATAAGGAGTCACTAAATGCATAAATAAACAATAATTAATTACACAAGTAGAATGAAAATGATTTCAATGGAAAAAATATAAATAAAATAAAAGAATTATTAATAACAAAGTTACCTTATAATTTATGTAATTGTTTATTAGGTATACTAGCTAGACAATAAAAGAACACGGGAGTGATAAATGATTGGCAATTTCGACAATTCATGCTTGAGATATTTAACCCCAGTTTGATTTAGATAAAAATCTGATTTTTTTTTGTAGATTTTTATAAAAATTAATTAATGTAACGTATGGTTGAAAATTGTAGGTCCTATAAATATTTTGAAATTAATTGTTGATTTTGACTTTAAATTTTTATTAATTTTTTAGCTGAATCAAATCGGAGCAAGGTTTATAGAAGGGTATATTAGTAAAATAAGAAAAGAATTATGAATAAAAAAGTGTAAATACAGTACAGACTGTAGTTGCTTGTTTATCTTACAAAACATAATTTTTACTAGTTTGTTTTATGTCTTTGCTTCGCTGTCTGTGGGCTTCTCTAGCTGTTTGAGATGCTGCTTTCTACTATACATATTACTTATGGTACAAGTCTCTCTTGCCCCTACCCCACCCCTACGCCCAATCCCACCTATATGTTTTATATATGCATTTTTTATAGACATTTTGTCAAGAGAATAGTGTACCGATTAACTACTTTTTAAAAAGGTTGAACCACAGTCTTAAGGGCTCCTATCGTCCCGTCCCTAGAGTTTTGTGAGGAAAGTAAATCGCGAAATGTGCCTCCAACAGATCATGGAATAAGAGCTGTCTGTACACTGCGTCTACAGAGAGTCCAATTCCATATATCAGGAATCGAACCCCACACTGCGACTACCAGCAAGGTGTGAGATAACTTCACTCCTATCCTTTGCACTTCATCTTGACTTGTCTAGTCCAAGGTTAGATCGATAATATAGAACATGCCAACCAACCCTACCTATATGTTTACATATAAATTTACTTTTATGTGTATTGTAGGTTAGTGTGGTAAGTTAAAATAATTAGAGTATATCTAAAAAACTCTTTATTTATAAAGAGCATCTTATGTATAATAGAAAACATCTTTAAATTTAGAGAGGTTTATTATTATTATTATTATTATTATTATTTTTACACTCCAACAAATTCCTATACATATTACTTATGGTACAAGTCTCTCTTGCCCCTACCCCACCCCTACGCCCAATCCCACCTATATGTTTTATATATGCATTTTTTATAGACATTTTGTCAAGAGAATAGTGTACCGATTAACTACTTTTTAAAAAGGTTGAACCACAGTCTTAAGGGCTCCTATCGTCCCGTCCCTAGAGTTTTGTGAGGAAAGTAAATCGCGAAATGTGCCTCCAACAGATCATGGAATAAGAGCTGTCTGTACACTGCGTCTACAGAGAGTCCAATTCCATATATCAGGAATCGAACCCCACACTGCGACTACCAGCAAGGTGTGAGATAACTTCACTCCTATCCTTTGCACTTCATCTTGACTTGTCTAGTCCAAGGTTAGATCGATAATATAGAACATGCCAACCAACCCTACCTATATGTTTACATATAAATTTACTTTTATGTGTATTGTAGGTTAGTGTGGTAAGTTAAAATAATTAGAGTATATCTAAAAAACTCTTTATTTATAAAGAGCATCTTATGTATAATAGAAAACATCTTTAAATTTAGAGAGGTTTATTATTATTATTATTATTATTATTATTTTTACACTCCAACAAATTCTCTTTTTTTGATTTTTTTTTTTTTTTTAATCCAATGAACATTTAATCATTTCTCCACATATTTTTTTTAAGTATAATATTTTTATATATTAATGACCAATCAATTCAACTGTAATTTAAAAATTTTAAATTATAGAGTATTAAAATTTGTAATGTATTAAATGTAATCATTGTACATTAAAAATAGAGAGTGAGTTTGGCCATCTAAGTTTCGAGAGCCAAACACACTCTCTATTTTAACTTTTTAAAATAGGGAGTTTCCTGAAACTCATTTTTAAACATTAACTTTCT